ATTATGTATTTTAGCCGGGCCATACAATTTTAATTTTGAATAAAATTAACTTAAATATAAACAAAAATACGAGAATAAATATATTTAATTAAAAAGTACAAATGCATTAAAATTGGAAAAACTGATTGACTGTCAAAACAGAGGATGCACATTCGAAGAACCCCGAGCTCTCAAATATATGCATAACAATCCAGCTTCCACAATGAACGTTTTTTTCAAATAATTTTTTAGAAATTTTAAATGACTGTCTGAAATAATCGAAGCTTCTGATTAAAATGGACTCCTAAAAGTAACAAGGTTTTCTTCAAATTGGCTAGACAAGAAGACCATTTAGAATCTACGTTCTCCTGCTGACACCTCTCTTTCTTCACTGCTTCCAACTCCTTTATGAATCCAATGGCGTCAGAAACACTCTTATTCTTTTGCTCTTGAAGAGACCACAATTTGATCTCACATTCTTTGATTTCATTTTCTTTGCTATTCAATTCAGCCTCCAACTTAGAGATTTGCTCCTTCAACTCTGCTTCCCTTGTCTGAGCCTCACCCATAGAATTATGGGTCTTCTGAATTTCAAATAAAAGAGTCATTACTCCTACTTTTCGTTGCAAATGTGGTTCAGTCATTAGCTTTTTTTTTTTTTCCCCCTCTGGTTCAAGCTTAAAGGAATATAGAACAGTTTGGATTTCTTGCTGCAAAGAGTGCACTATAGTTTTAAGGCCATCATCAGAACAGTGAGAGGACAAGGTGTTGAGAGCATTCTCAAGGCGAAGTTTGCTTTCTTCGGAGCTAGCATTTTTCTCCAAGCCCATCTTCATTGAGGCTTACAAATTAGCAAGAGCCTGAGTTACCTCGCTATCATCTTCATGAGCAGTAATTTTGGATGCACAAGGCATGCGAACTTCCATGTTAGCACCTTCCTCAGTTATTTGGAATAATATCATTAGATCATCATTCTCAAGCCGTTTAGATACATGAGGCATGCAAGTCTCTGCTTGAGTGACCTTATTGTCATCCTGAAGTGGATAAGAATGGACAAATATTATTCTTATTAATAGAATCCAGTAACGAAATGTGAATTTTTTTCTAAACACATTGAATGCTAAAGGAAGAGTTATAAATGTTCATCAGCACAAAATATATTATTAATTGTTTTAAAAGAAAAACATTATACCCAAAAAGTAGTGTAATAAATTATAAACATACTTGTGCAGATTCGGCAATGTAAATATCTAAATGGTCTGATTGTGAACTATGTGCTTTTGTTTCAGTGCTTGAAGTTGCTATTTGAGGCTCTATGTGGGTAGAGATTGAAGGGAAAATTAGAAAAATTAATTTCAACCAAACGATAGTAAAGGACCAATGGCGCAACAACCAAACAAGGGTAAATGAAAAGAGTAATTATTTACCAATGGAGAGCTTGTTTCAGTAGTGGTTGATGGAATTGCCATTGCGATTTTATCTGATGTTTCTCCACTAACATTTGCTTCAATATTCTGCGCAGCATTGAATAACTTCAGTTTCTTGTTTTTGTGACAACAAAGCATTGGAATAGATATAGTCTTTTTAAAGATTGTTAATTAACCTTTTGTGAATCATCAAGATGCATATCGTGTTCTGTTTTTGATATTGCTTGTTGATCAACTGTGATTCTCTTGATCTTGCCCTCAATGCGATCCATATTATCCTAAATGAACATAAATATGCAAAAAGCACTTTAAGATTATATCATTTGCTGTTGCTTTGGTACTCAATGAACTTACAATATGTTCATGGAGAGAAGTACTATTTGATGTTTGTGCAAGTCTATTTCATTTTAGGAAATTTTAAAGTATGATGAATTTTGTAATGAATGTGTTTTCATGCTGTCATTAATGACTCAAAATAATGCAATAAAGTATAGACTTGCTTTAAAAGGTGCTATGTTGGAGGAAAGTTCAGATGGTTTTGATTGTGGATCTTTAGAATGCAAATGAAATTCTCTTTCACTCTACATGAAAACATATATCTATGAATGTTCAGAAGGACACATATATTTAATTCATTTGTTTTGTACTGTAAATTATGATAATCTTACTCGTGCTGATTCAATTTGTGAAGGAGCAGAAAATGGTTCGGGTTTGCTGGTTTGTCCTCCTTGACTTCATCAGCTTTTGTAGCTTCCTCTGATTTTGGACCTCCTTCAGTTGCCTCTGTTATTTCCTTAATCTGTAACATAGAGGAGACAGCACAGAAATTAAAATGTTCCGGATTTAATTTAATGATATTGTACCGAAATTTGGAAGCAATCTAGAAGGCAATAAGTGGGAGAGAAATATATTTGTTGATGTCTTTGGTGTAGTAGATTATATGCAGACTTTGACGTGTTACTTTGCATATCTGAATCAGAGTTTAGTGTGCTTTTGATATGCAATGCATACCAAATCATTGAGTAATTAACCACAATAAAACACACAATACATACATAACAATCCAACTTCTATAGTGAACTCTTTTAAAATCATTTTTTAGAAAACTTAAATGACAGTCTCAAATAGTAAAATACTAATAGCGCAAAAATCAAACAAGAGTAACTCAGAAAAGTAATTATTTACCAATGGAGCGCTTGTTTCAGTAGTAGTTGATGGAATTGCCATTGCAATGTTATTTGATATTTCTCCAATAACATTTGCTTCAGTATTCTGCACAGCATTGAATAACATCAGTTTCTTCTTGTTGTGACAATGAAGCATTAGAATACATAGTATTTTTGTAGAATGTTCGTTAACCTTTTGTGAATCATCAAGATGCATATCAGGTTCTGGTTTTGATACTGCTTGTTGATCAAATGTCCTCCTGTTGCCCTTACCCTCAATGTGATCCATATTATCCTAATTGAACATAAATATGAAAGAAGGGCCATAAAATTATATCGTTTACCATAAACGCATCCTATATCAGGAAGGTCTATATTCTGACATGTGGATGCTCATTTTCTGAAGGAACAACAAATGCTATTGGTGATTGCGTGTTTGATTCTGGACTCATGATTTAATTTGTTTTAAGAGCTTCATCTAATTTAGAACCTTCTTGAGAAGTTGGTTTCTCTGTTTCCTTTATAGTTTGTTGCATGGCACGAAAAAGTAATTTGCTTGTAGTTAGTTCCAACACCATATCTTCAGCAGCAATTTTTTTTTTACTGGTTAATTAAGTTTTACAATACATAGCCAACTGAAGGTTTCTCCTAAAATATCTAAATTAGATGATGGTGCTGTCGCCGCTGGCATATCAAAAGTAAGAACTTGTTTAACAATTTCATTTTCTACTGCCTTGGTACTGCATGATCATACAATATGTAAACAGGGAGAGGAACTGTTCTGTTTGATGTTTATTTAAGACTATTTTATTTTAGGAAATATGTGTGTTTTCAAGCTATTTTAAATTCTAACATGACTCACAATAAATATGTAATAAAGTATAAACTTACTTGATAAGATGTGTTGGAGGAAAAATCAAATGGTTTTGTATTGTAAAATATGATAATCTTACTTGTGGAGATTCAATTTGTGAAGGAGCCGAAAATGGCGAGGCCGGGTTTGCTGGTTTGTCCTGAATCCTTGACTTCATCAGCTTTTGTAGCTTCCTCTGCTTTTGGACTGTCTTCATCACTTGCCTCGGTTATTTGCTCAATCTGTAACATAAAGGAGATCACAAAGAAATTAAAAATTTCTGGATTCAATTTGTTAATATTGCGCCAAGAATTTAGAAGCAATAAGAAAGGCAATAACTAAGAGATAAATGTTGTCCCCAAAACTTGCGGAAAATATCTTTGGAGGAAGAACGAACGCACCAAATTCCTAACATCTCCCTGGAAATCCTTCCAAAAGCACTGAAAAAATCTCACATTGAATCAGTCAAAACCTGGTGCTCCATCAACATTCATATTAGCATCAATTTCCTCATCCATAAGATCATTCAATAAAACTTGCTCGTGTGCATCTGAGAGCTTGGGCATGTCAATATGGTCAAGTTCAGCAAGGATTTGATGAAAGGTCGCATTATCAGATTGATTAAAAATATTCTTAAAATAATCCAGAGTTAAATTTCTCAGACCCTTAGCATCTGAAATCCAAATCCCCTCTTTGTTGAGGCCGATCTACGTTTACGAACCAAATTATGAAAATAGGCAGTATTTTTATCCCCATAGAGCAACCAATTTTGTCTCGCTTTTCGTGCCCACAATATCTCTTCACATCCCAACCAAAAGTCAAGTTCTGATCTCAAACGCAAAATCCAGTTACTGGCTCCCTTTAATTCCAAGTTAGATTGTAAGTTGCCGATCATTTGTTCGAGAGACTGGATTTTTTGATTTATCTTTGCCACTGTAGTTTTATTCCAATGAAGTAAATTTTCTTTCAACTGTTCCAAACGATAGATTAATTGAAACCCCTCGTGAGTTGAAAAAATGTTATTCCAAGAATTCTTGACCAAAGTCGAACAATGAGAAAAATTAAGCCAAAAGTTCTCAAAACGAAAACGACGTGGGACCAAACTTTGCCAAGATTAGTGTCAATCAACAAAGGCGCATGATCCGATGCAACAATAGGTAAACCATGAACCAGAGTTTTAGAGTAATTTCGCAACCATAGCACATTACAAAACGCACGATCCAACTTCTCCCAAACCACTGACTCTCCTTTCCTATTGTTACACCAAGTAAATTTTGGACTTTTCAATGACAATTCCAAAAGCTGAGCATCAAACATCAATCGACGAAATTGATTAGCTCAAGAAGTGCTCAACTTATCCTCACCATAAAGCACTTGATTAAAATCTCCCACTAATATCCAGGGCCCATTAACCTTAGATTCAGTATTTAAAATCCAGTCCCATAATAAATGACGGTTAACAAAATTAGGGAAACCATAAACACAAGACACATAAGCAAAAGTACCATCATTTATATCCACAAGGCAGTGGATCAAGTTAGCAGTACAGTCCAAAACAGAAACAGTCTTCAACATTCAAAGCTTCTGCTTAAGATGAATTCCCAAATGTAATGAGGTTTTCTTCAAATTGGCTAGACAAGAAGACCACTTGGAGTTCACATTCTCTAGTTGATGCCTTGCTTTTATTTGGTCAACCACCATGTGAGACCTTTCTTTCTTCACTGCTTCCAACTCTTTTTTGAATCCCATGGTGTCTGAAACACACTTCTTCTTTTGCTCTTGTAGAGACGAAAGTTTGACCTCACACTCTTTGATTACTTTTTCTTTGTTACACAGTTCATCCTGTAACTTAGAGATTTGCTCCTTCAACACTTCTTCCCTTGTTTGAGCCTCAACCATAGAATTTTGAGTCTTGTGAATTTCAGATAAAAGAGTCATTGCTGCTTCTTTTCGTTGTGAACGTTGTTCAACCATCAGCTTCTCTTTTTGTTCAAGCTTGGTCGTTGCGTCAATGGCAGAACAGGCTTGCTTGAAGGAAGATAGAATAGTTTCGATTTCTTGTTGTAAAGAGTGTATTGTAGCTTTGAGTCCATCATCGGAACTATGCGAGGACAAGATGTGAAGAGAATTTTGAAGGCAAAGTCTGCTTTCTTCGGAGCTAGCTATTTCATTTAGATTCATCTTCAATGAGACTTCCAAATCAGCAAGAGCCTTAGTGATATCATCTTCATGAGCAGCACCTTCCTCCATTGTTTGGAATAATCTCATTAGTTCATCATCCTCAAGTTGTTTAGACACATAAGGCATGCAAGTTTCTGTTTGACTGGCCTTAATTTCATCCTGAAGTGAAAAAGAGGAAACAAATATTATTCTTACTAATTGAATCCAATAAAAAATATGATTTTTTTTCCCTGAAACATGTAGGACTCTAATGAATAAAGTGGAGCTATAAATGCTAATGAACACAACATTTATTGTTACTTGTTTTAAAGGAAAAACATTATACCCTAAAAAACAATGTGTTAAATTATAAAACATACTTGTGCAGATTCAGTAATGTAAATATCTAGATGGTCTGATTGTGAAGTCTCTGCTTTTGTTTCAGTAGCTAAAGATGATATTTGAGGCTTCATGGGAGTAGAGATTGAAGGGATCTAAAACCAGAAGAATAGAAAAATTAGTTTCAACCAACGATAGTAAACTACAATAGTGCTGCAATCAAACAACGGTAAATGAAAAGAGTAGTTATTTACCAATGGGGAGCTTGTTTCAGTAGTAGTTGATGGAATTGGCATTGCAATTTTATTTGATGTTTCACCAACACTTGCTTCACTATTCTGCACAGCATTAAATGACATCAGTTTCTTGTTTTTGTGACAATCAAACAAGGGTAAATGAAAGCCGTAATTATTTGTAGATTGTTAATTAACCTTTTGTGAATCGTCAAGATGCATATCAGGTTGTGTTTTTGATAGTGCTTGTTGATCAAGTGTGATTCTCTTGCCCCCGCCCTCAATGTGATCCTTATTATTATCCTAAATCAACAAAAATACGCAAAAAGCACCATAAGATTATATCATTTACCATAAATTCATCCTATATATCAGGCAGGACTATATTCTCACATGTGGATGCTCATTTTCTGAAGGAACAACAAATGTTGTTGGTGATGACTTGCTTGATTCTGGACTGATGATTTGATTTGTTCTGAGAGCTTCATCTAATTTAGAACCATCTTGAGGGGTTGACTTTAATGTTTCCTTTATAATTTGTTGCATAGGACAAAAAAGTAATTTAGCTTGTAGTGAGTTCTAGCACCATCTCTTTATCAACAATTATTCTTTACTAGCTAATAAGTTTTACAATATATATAAAAACAAGTGACGGTGTTTGTTGGGGATTTGCTAGATCTCAGAATCAGATGATGGTGTCGTTGTTGCTGTCGTATCAGAAATAGGAATTCGTTTAACAATTTTATTTGCTGTTGCTTTGGTACTCAATGAACTTACAATATGTTAATGGAGAAAGTACTATTTGATGTTTGTGCAAGTCTATTTCATTTTAGGAAATTTTAAAGTATGATGAATTTATAATGCATGTGTTTTCATGCTGTTAAAGTCTAACATTAATCAATCAAAATAAGGCGATAAAGTATAGACTTTAAAAGATGCTGTGTTGGAGTTAAAATCAGATGGTTTTGATTGTGGATCTCCAGAATGCAAATGAAATCCTCTTTCACTCTACATGAAAACATAGATCTATGAATGTTCGGAAGGACGCATATATTTAATTCATTTGTTTTGTATTGTAAAATATGATAATCTTACTTGTGGAGATTCAATTTGTGAAGAAGCAGCAAATGGTGCGGATTTGTTGGTTTGTTCTGAATCCTTGACGTCACCAGCTTTTGTAGCTTCCTCTGATTTTGGACTGTCTTCATCACTTGCCTCTGTGATTTCCTTAATCTGTAACATAGGAGATCACGAAGAAATTAAAAAGTTCCGGATTTAATTTAATGATATTGTACCAAAATTTGGAAGCAATCAAGAAGGCAATAAGTGAGACAGATATATATTTGTTGATGTCTCTGGCATATCTGAATCACAGTTTATTGTGCTTCTGATATGCAATGCATACCAGATATACGCAATACACCCACACCCACACACACACACACACACATAATCGACTAATTGTATACAAAAATTTTGAATAACAATGTTTTGGTAAAAATAAAAAATAAAAAATAATTTGTATTAGCATCACTATAGAGTAAGAGTGCTCTTGTCATCCAAATGAGCAGTCAAACGCTGCTGCTCCTTGTGACTCATCAAAAGTGAGAAAATAAATAGTATTTCAAAAGTTAATAATAAAATAAATAAAAATAGACACAAAATTTGGTCAAGTGAAATTATTGATATATCAATAATAACTTTAATATTTTATAAGAAAATTAAAATTTTTTTACTGCTATTCGGAATCAAGTTAATTTGAATCCTAGCGTGGTTTTTAAAAACTCGTGAATTATCTTCCAGGAGTACCGGAAAGAAAAAAAAATCGCCCAGAGTGTTAGCTTGAAAATGATATTTTCAGCCGGGCCATATAATTTTAATTTTGAAAAAACTTAATTTAAATATAAATAAAAAATGTGAGAAAAAATATATTTAATTAAAAAGTACACACACATATACATTAATTCTGGGAAAACTTATTGACTGTGACAATAAAACATTAGAATACATATATATATAGTCTTTTGTAGATTGTTAATTAAACTTTTGTGAATCACCAAGACGCATGTCAAGTTCTGCTTTTTGTAGTGCTCGTTAACTAAGTGTGATTCTCTAGCCCTCACCCACAATGCGATCCTCATTGTCCTAAATCAATATAAATATGCAAAAAAAAAAAAAACCATAAAATTATATCATTTACCATAAATTCATCCTATATATCAAGAAGGACTATATATTCTTACACGTGGATGCTCATTTTCTGAAGGAACAACAAATGCTGTCGGTGATGACTGGCTTGATTCTGGACTCATGATTTTATTTGTTCCAAGAGCTTCCTCTAATTTAGAACCTCCTTGAGAGCTTGACTTCAATGTTTCCTTCATAATTTGTTGCATAGCACAAATTAAAGAAGTAATTTAGCTTGCTGTGAGTTCTACCGCCATCTCTTCATCAACAATATTCTTTACTAGCTAATTAAATTTTACAATATATAAAAACAAGTGAAGGTGTTTGTGGGCATTTTCTCTGAAAATATCTGAATTAGATGATGGTGATGTTTTTGCTGCTATATCAGAAAGAAGAACTTGTTTAACAATTTCATTTTTCACTGCTTTGGTTTATCTGAACTTACAATATGTTAATAAAATGTGGAACTGTTTGATGTTTATGTAAAGCTATTTTATTTTAGAGAAGTGTAAAGTATGATGAATTTATAATGTGTGTGTTTTCTAACGTTAGTCACTGAAAATAAGGTAATATAATAAAGTATGAACTTAGTTGAGAAGATGCTGTGTTGGAGGAAAAATCAAATGGTATCGTATTTTAAACATATGATAATGTTACTTGTGAAGGAGCAGGGTTGTTGCTAGTTTGTTCTGAATCCTTCCCTTCATCAGCTTCTTCGGCCTCCTCTGCTTTTGGACCGTCTTCAACACATGCCTCTGTTATTTCCTTAATCTGCAACATATAGGAGACCTCAAAGGAATTAAAAAGTTATGAATTAATGTTGCACCAAAAATTTATAAGCAATAGGAAAAGCAATAAGTAAGAGAGAAATATATTTGCTGCCTTCTTAGGTGTGGCAGATTATAGGAAAGTATAGTATACATACATTTGATGAACCATTGTTTTGTTGTGCTGCTGGTCGATCTCTCTTTATAACCTTCTCTGCTACTTCTCTTGCCCTCTGGAACATATCCGTGAATATGGTTAGATAGTATATGAGATGAGCCCTTTTTGAAAGGGTAAAAAGAATGAAATTTGCCCCATCTTAGCTGCAATTTTATCAATAATATTTTGTTTAGCACTTAAAAAAAAAAAAAAAACAGAGTGCTTGGTGTACCTGAGAAATAAATTTAAGGGCAAAATTGCATCTTTACTCTTTTTTAAAAATATTTTTATTAACAAAATAACCGTAGGCTTTCAATTAATTAAATTAATCACAGAGATATAGGTGCTATAAATTTTTTTTCCAATTTGACTTAAAAATGATGCAATTCAACTTGTAAAAATAAAAGTTTGATCTGTAAACATAAATGATTAAATTTAATTTGTGAATATACAAGTTTCATCCGTAAAATATAAATTTTTAGAGACATTTGTATATTTAATTTTCTTGATGAGACTCAAGCAATTTTTTTCCAAGCTAAAATATGGTTTATTTCGATCACCATTCCATGGGTTGAATGAAATGACAAGTTGTTTATTCAATTTTTTTTTATAGAACTGATTAAAACAATTTGTCCCAAACAATGCACGGTGAATTTGAAAAGATAATAAAACACTGAAACTAAAAATAAAAATGGTGTAATGATAGGCCATCGGTTCAAGAAGAAGAGGCCCATTAAGTTTATTTAAGTTTGGTGTATGCATCGTTCATTATCCTGTCTCCCCCTGCTTTCTCTGTCCTTAGATTGACCCATTTTATTTTGGTACTTACATTAAGAAGCTGTTCAGAAAGATCATCGTCATCCATGTTGCCCTTCGCATTCTCAGATTCGTGAAAACAATCCATATAACCTAACCAAACAAAGCAATTCCAAAAATATATTATAATGAGAAAAGTCATAGCAATTATATAGGAATCGTAAACATATAATTAAATAATCTTTTGGATACTTACTATCAATGAACTCAAAATTATCAGTTGAAGTCAATGAGAGGTTGGGACAATCCTCAACGTCACGGTATATCACGGTTTGGAAATCAATTGCAGGGCAGATGGTATGAAGTTTCGGCAGATGATCAAGGCTTATCACAAATAGCCTTGGGAACACGTGCTTGACATGCAACTCTTGTGTTGCGCCCTGCTTCCCTCCAAATACTTGCTTTAGCACTGGGGCATGTGATATGCTCAACAACGAGAGCTGTGGAAAGCTGCCACGTGTGGAGATAGAGAATAGGCATTTCAGCCTCTCGCAGTCGTCCACAATAATCCTAAGGAGATTTGGGAAAGAATATTCTTCATCATCGTCATCCTCAATGATGCGCTCTAGCTCTCCACACTCTGATACCTTTAGGTGTCTCAAACATGGCAGGCTTCTCGAGATAGATGTAGGCAAAATGAATTCCAGCTGATCGCACCCGTCGATTTTTAGCTTGTAAAGATATTGAAAGCTGAGGTGATTTGTTGGTCCCACACATGTTTCTTAACCCATCCAAGTTTTCCAAAATCAGGGTTTTCAAGCTTGAATTCACAGGACATGCAATTTGAAGTCTTTCCAGATCATAAATTGTTTCCATGTCCAATAATGCCAAAGACAGATGTCTCAAATTGCACAAGCGCATCCCAATTACCTATATAATGTCATAACAAACACACATATAATTATCAAAGAACAAAGCAATACATCAATAATCATAAACTGACTGTTGAAAAATAATTAATTACCTTTTTTCTCGAGACTTTTTCTTGTCCTATATGCCCCTCCACTGATACTTCTATAAAAGAGTTTATAGGAAGTTGCTGACATTCACTCAAAGTGATGCCTTCTAGAGATGATGCTTCCACATAATAGTTTTTAGGGCACATAACCATATTTGGTACTTCACTAAGGCTTAGTTTGTTGAGAGCTGGGAGATGAATCTTAGTATTATGATTTTTTTGAAGTAACTTATCATCACCACAAGATTTTCCAAATACATATTTCAACTCTCTAGCCCCCTGGATATGCACCGATTCCAAGAGCACAAGGTTTGTAGAACAAGAAACTGGAAATACATATTCCAATTTGTGACATTCGATGATTTCAATGGTGCGCAAGTTGGGAAATATAGAGTTGGAACTCATATGATGATGATGACCGTCTACCTCCTCCATTACTATATGCTCTAGCTCATCACAGAGGACGACTTCCAATTTTTCTAACATTAACATTGATGAGGCGATGGATACAGAAAATAGTGACCTTAAGTTTGAAATTCTGTTGATTTTCATCTCTCTCAAATTGCCCGGGTACAACGGTGGCGTAAAAATTCCATGTGCTCTATTGCCAACATATTTATCCTGCATTCCAAACAAATATATCAAGTCGTAGCACCATATTGGAGAATGGACGTGAAAGCGGGTTCAATTTTTTTTTAATAAATAAGTAAAACCAAAGATTTTTTTTCACATCTTATCTAACTTAATCTTTACTACATCTCAGCCAGTATGTTACAACTTATTAAAAATTTTAATTTTCGACCTTCTAAATTCTTCTAAATTAATTTAATGAAACAATGAAGCAAAATTTAAAAGGTTGATTGTTTAAAAAAAAGCCAGTGTAAATTTGATGTGGATAAGTAATTTGTTGTGAATGCCCTGCACCCTGTAGCATGTATGTGGACAAATTTTGTAATTTGATTTATATGTATACAAAAGTAATTTTTTTAATTTGCGGACAAAATAAGTTATCTACTTAATAGATATCAACCATGAGGTTGAGAATAAAATTATATAGATTGCAATATGAATAAAGAGACAAATACTTTACCAACAAGTTGTTGGTTGAGATGATAAATGGTCTCATCCTCGTAAGGAGGAGAACACAAGTTAAAATTCTGAGAATGACATTTGTTAGGAGAATTTTAACTTAATGTTCTCAACCTGATAGAGATTAGTCTCAAGTTTAAAGTGACTTGGAGAGACTCTAAATTATATTAAAAAAGAAAAAAATAGACAAACATTTTTTGGCAAAAGCCACAAATACTAAAGCAATATATATGTTTGACATAAATAATTCATGCCTTTTTCGCACAAACAACACGTTTCCCCATATTCAGTACCGAACTATCCTGAACAAATGAGATTAAACCTGCAAAAGTATTCTTTCCACCAGAAGTAAAATACCCAGAAAACCTCTCCGCATGTTACAGACCTATTTGTCAGTTTAAAAAAAAAAAAACCAAAAATTGTGGCATAAAAATCACAAGCACATACAAACCTAGAAATTTTAGTGTTGTTGCTGACTATGATTTTTTTGAAAGAGAACTACTATATATTTAGTGTAAAGTAGAAAAAGGAATTTATTATTGGCGAGAAGTATTTGATAAACTTTATATACAAAAGTTTTTAATACTCTGTAAAATTTGTACACACAAAATATCCAAATTCTAATTTACATCCTTCTCACCAAAAATTTTTTTAATGGGAGACTTTTCCCGAATTTTTTCGTTAAACTATGTGAAAAGATAAAAAAAAATATAGGGAGGTTAACTTTAAAATTTGAATTGCGCTATGGAGGTCATCTATAAATGACTTAAATGTTGGGGCTTTTTTTAATATTATTTTAGCCTAAGCGTTATAACAAATTTGATCAACATAATTTTTGAAAGTAATGGGTGATTATTTATTCTAACAATTCCCTTTTTTAAATTAACACTTATTTAATTCTCTCAATGCAAAGAAACACATGTAGCATTGATAAAAGTGCGAGGGAGGAACATATATATGTACCTGTGGGCTAGTATGGTTCAACTGAGTTGCCTTGGAAGTAGATGACTCATCTTCTTTTGTAGCTTTTGATTTTGGCATAAAACAACATAAAGAACCACAAGAGACATTGCGACCTGGACTCTTGTCTTTTGCCTTTGACCCTTCAGTTGTATTTGCTTCTGATTTTTGTGGGAGATGACAATCTGGATATATGTTGACGAATGAAGGAACTTTTAGAATAGACAGCACTTTCAACGAACAGAGTATGTTTTCTTTTTGCATTTGATGCAACCCTCTCTCTTCTGGATATTGCCCAAACATGTATTTTAGATTGTCACACTCAGAAATCTTCGCATTTTCAAGTGTAGGAAGGTCATCACAAAAAGAAATTGGCAACATGAATTCCAATTCGTCACATCCTTTAATACTGAAGAGTTTCAGTTTTTGAAACATTGAGTCATGACTCCTTGGATTGGGATCTTTATCATCCGCTTTCACCTTTCCTGATGATCCCTCATCCCTTATTATGTATTTCAGATTAGAACATCTAGCAATCTTCAAAGTTTCTAGCTTTCTAAGACTTTGGGCAGTGGATGGATGAAAAAGGCACGACATTGAACAATCCTTTACTTCTATGGACTTAAGACTACCCAGCTCTAGCTTGCCTTTAAATAATGTGCTTTCCAACTTTTCACAATCCCTTAACTCTAGCTTCTCAAGTTGGTTGAGAAAGCCATGAGGATAAGGACCATTACATATTTCTCTCACATCCACTTCAACAAGTTGCAGTTCAGCTAACTTCCGGAAGATAGCCATACCAGATGTAAGTTGAAGATGTTTAGTATGTATCAAACACTTCATCTTTGACCATGTCTTCAAAGAAAGCTTGATTAAATCTTTCGTAGCTTGATCTTCAATTGAAACAATGTCAGGAAGAAGATTGCTCCAGCTAGATTCATCACCTCCTTCTAACTCCAAAATCTCTGCTCTTGCTGCCAAGGATTTAATTATTTCTTTGGAGAACATTCTTTGTAACTTGGCTGGCTTGAAACTTGTTTTTATTGAAGTATCCAACTGACAAGAATCGAATGCGGAGAACCTGCTACCATCTATATGATATATTTGATATTGAGGAAGGGGTATATTTATTTGAGGAACCTGTGTGTCGATAGGCATATGATCATCATTCGAGATATAATACAACTCTTCTAGTTTTGAACAACTAGCAATCACTTCAAATGGATTGTTCTTTTCAAGCGAACAACGCATCAAGCATAGATATCTCAATTTGCCTAGCTCACTAATTTCATTTGGCAATTCAAGAATTGAACAATTAGTCAATTCTAGAGACTCAAGATCTTTTAAGTTCCTTATCAACATAGATATATCACCTAACTCCCAATTTATGAGAGATAGTGTTCGAATATGTTTCAACGATTGAATTGATTTGGGTAGCGAGAGGGCTAAAGTTCTTCCAAACTCAATTTTTGAATGCAAAAGCAGAACTCTAAGACTCTTCATCCCTGCAAAGACTGTATTTGGAACTTCCAAAGAACCATTTGCATTTATCCATACTAAGAGAACCTCAAGTTTGCTATCATTAAAACAATTGGGAAAGCCATTTGTATTCCAAGATGAATATTTCATATTCTCCTTCAAATTCATATTAGACTTCATGACCACTTGAATCTCTTCATCTGCTATCTCTATGATCACTTCACGAATCAAATCATGCATCTTTACACATTCTTCACCAGCCTTCAACAATAAAGAAGAATTTATAAGCTTGTTTTTCTTCACATACACTTGACTTCTTTTTGCATCATATTTGTCAGCTTCTCCAAATAGCCCTAATCCTATGGCAATCCTGCTTAAAAGCTCTATTGGTATGTCATAAGCTTTTGGGAATATAGAGCACAGCAAGAACAGAACTTGGGCTTGTTTATCTTTCAGATAAGTATAGCTTAACTTCAAAGAATTATAAAACTTTGTCATATTTTCATCAACAATCCCATGACTTGAGGGTTCATTCGCACTTCTTAATGCTATCAAAGCACGTTGCCAATCTTTTGCAGGCCAGTCTTTTAAGGATTTTGCCATTGCG